GTTTTTTTTCTTCTCTAGTCTTTGATACATACCTTACCTGTTTAATGAGGTATATATCATTGTTATGAAGCCTTTCGTAAAAGTTGGGGCCGTCTGTTTGACGCCAGTGCATTGTACGGGGCGTCGACGGTAGCGCCGCCTGGACCGCTGTAGAATTAAAGGCGGCAAATCTTCGAAGGGTGCCGTTACTTTTCCCCACAGAGGGGATTTAGGCTGGGATGGCTGGTAGCGTCCCCTATGCTTCACCGTAAGTTGGAACCGCCGATCTCCACTGGGGGACTGGATGGCGCATTGAGCAAACAGGTACGAAGCCACCGGATGCTAGCGGCTTGTCCCGGAAGTGAGCGCTTGACAGACTTTTCTGCTCTTCCGAGTGCGGGTTCGAGCAGCGGCCAGGGCACTGAATTTTTTTCTCGTCATCTCAAGAGAGCCTGCTTGTTGCGCAGTAACAGCGCATGCGGGCCCAAGATGTCTGCTGGGAAATAATTCGTTGTGAAAAATTTTGAGATTCTATTTGATCGATTGTGAATGCGTCCCGCGTTCAAATGCCTTACTGTCGGGATTTAATTCAAATCTGGATTATTAAAATCTTTTCAGAGACACAAGTAAGCCATCCGACTGAATGCACTAGGAAGGCCAGCAGACACCCGACTTCCAGGACAATCATCAAACTTCCGCTGGCTTCACTTCCGCCTGGCTAATATACAATCTTCATTAAACTACGTTTTTCCTGTTTTTTGTTATTTTTTTTTTACAACTGAGGTGGACGCAGCGCAGCTACAAAGGTTAGTCGTCTGTCCAGCTAGCAGAACCGGAAAGAGTGGTCGGGGTTTGCTCATTCAATTTACGCGGCTACGAAGGTCGCGTTGGCTATACACTATGAGGGGATCCGGTGCTCCTCGCTTGTGCAAACATTGTTTGGCAAATAGGGCCACCCTTCTACCTACATCTGAAGCTCGCGTTTTTTTTTCCTCTTAATTTTCGTTAAGATGATTTTGCTTTTGGACTCGTGAGCGGTTTCGAGCGTGTTTACGCGCGGGGTTAGAATATGCCGACTATGCGGTGGGGTCTGGCTTAATCGACTTGCGGTGAGCGAGCCATGGAGAATATTTGTGTGTCTTCGTATCGATGGCAGGGCGGCCGCTTGCAGGTTGGGATCATTACCGGCGGGACGATGCTAATCGCGACGCAAACAGGGACCGATGAAATTTAATTCATCATCGGCGGTAGCGCGTGTGGTCGAAGGCGGTTTTGTGGATTTATGCATTTCGGGTGGAGGGATGCGATATATCGAGCTCACCTGCGGAAAAGACCGCGAGTTTTAATTTTACGCCCACGGCGATGGTATTTAAGGGGCCGAATGGCTTGAACGAAAAATTGTAGTTTAATGCCGCATTCCTTTTTTTAAATTTGATTATTATTGGATCGGCGGTATTTAAAGTTGAATTTTATGTTTGTGACTCGATCGCCGCGACGAGGTACGTACACTATAAAATGACTATAGTGACTTGTTTCATATCTAGTTTTAATACGCAGCATATCTTGGAAAAGCTAATTGCTGCAACATCATGAGGCAGCACGTCAAATGATGAAGCTAAAAATATATATTGACCCCCCCCAAAAAAAAAGAAATAATAAAAGAAATATTTATATATTAAATAAGAAAACAGTTTGTGCATGTGACTCTGAGCATAACGTTTCACGTGCTTACGTCATGATCGGTGTCACAGCGCAGGCAGTTGTTTTAGGTCAAAAATAGAGGTGTGCAAATACTGCCTGGATTCGAATAGTGAAGCGTCATCCCTAACGTTAACAGAGCAAAAACAAAACAAAAAAAAGAAAAAAAAAGCAGCATGTCGTGTTTTCTTTGTTTTGTTTTGTTTAGAGGAGTGATCAAAAAGAAAAAGAAAAAAGGACAGGCGCCATTTGATTTGAAACCACTGTTTGTATACAACCCCCCAATTAACACATATTTACAGCCTCGCCTTTCGGCGAGCTCCCCTCCGTATAGATTGTAGTGATTGGCTTTCGCAGGTGTTTTTTGCGGGAAAGTGAACGCTACGGATGTCTTAGAGCGTGGGACCGTACATGCGAGCACTGCATCTCATAACTCCAGACTAGAAAAAACAAACAAAAACACTTGCCGAAACGATTACGTTATCGAGGCACGTGTCTTAAAAATGCCGCACCCGGACTGCTCGTGCATGATGCAAAAAGCACGGCGTTTGATGCAGAGACACAATGATAGAATCATTCGCGCACACGTCTTAAGCTGCAGGTTCGAATCATGCTTTTGCTTCGTATACATTTGTATGTTTTGAACGTATCTGGCGAACACTTTGTATACGATTAGCGTGACAGGACTGTCTTTTTGTATGAGGTATTCGCGCTGTCACCGCGGCTTTCGGGTAAGGACATCAAACGCCGGGTGTCCCCCCGTCTGCCCTTCGGTCGGACGTCTCCGAACGGCACCCCGTCTGTCCGAAATGCCGCGTCGATTACAAGCGGAGCCGAGACCGACGACGCACTGTCATTGACTGGCCACCGCTTTGGCGGCCGCCATGTCGTATCTCGTGACCCAAAAATACCTCGGCTGTCGGGTATGCGCAGCATCGATCTCGCGACGTTCGCTCCTAATGCATCATTCGTGGCTCCTCGGCGATCCATGTCGCCGAAACCGTGGGCCATAATCCGGCTTCTGTGCAGCCAGGGAAAGTAATATTGTCTATTCATGATGCAGAGGTGATCTGTCCCCGGTTCGTCACGGTGGAAAAAAACAAAAGACAAAAAAAAAACAACGTGGTACTTTAGTCGTACATTTCGACAGTCGGAAAACTAAAGGCTTGAGCCTGCATTTGGGGAGTAGGACTCGGTTGGATTCATTGAATTATAAAAGCGGTTTTCAAAATCTTCCTTTCATAACAATATAAGACGTTTTCACCGGCGTAATCCTTTTCCAGCCATTTGTGTGGTAGCGTGCTGCTGGGAGAGCGTGTGGAGAGTGAGTTTCATCGGTGTCCTTTTCACGCGAAGAAAGTCGTCGTGTTCAGGAGACGAATTCTCGCGGCTGACAACACAATGGTGGATTTATGTCGCGTTACAAAAGAGCGTACGCAGTTTTTTTAAATAGCGACCGAATTGGTTCGCGTTCTTCACATTCCTCATCTCAATTCAAACCGAAGTGACGAGCGGAACAAGAAGGCTTTGAAAAGTAGTTTTCACGCGACCGCGCTCAAGCAGATTCAACATCTTCGCAAGAAGAGAGATGAGCCAGTGCTCGTGGATTTCACTGCTCGCACTAAGCAGATAAACTCATTTTGAACGCGAATAGAAACGAACATTCGTCTGTACTGTAGTACAAACGAAGAGTAAAACTTCGCAGTTGCCTACCTTAGTATGTGTGAATTTCATTGCTACAACCTTTAGCAATGCCCTGTTAAAACAAAAGTTTAGAAAAATAAAAAAAGCGCTGAGAAATTTTGCAGAGATTTGCGTCAACGTAGAGCCAGTGTAAAAGAAGGTCAAAGCAACTTACGCACGAAATGATTAAAACAAAATAGCGCTCGTTGCGTTCTCAAAATAGCGCTTGTGCGTAGGAGTTTAGTATACCTTCGGTAAGGTGATTGGATTCCGGCGAAAAAGTTTGCGAAGCCTCCAGGCAACGTAATCGACTTGTCTACTGGTGCGTACGTAAAGCGCTGCTCCGAACCCGTCCTGCCACGAGCACGGCAAAATCTCAAGAACCATCAGAACGATAAGCCTGTTTAAGCAGAGCGGCTCCAAAACGCGTCCTCTGCGCGGAGGAAATGGCGGTTGCGTTTGATGCCCCACGCAGAAATCTACCGCCGTACACCGAGCGCATGTCTCTTCCTTCGTTAATGTAATTTCAAAAAAAAAAAAAAAAAGAAAACATTTAACGCGATGCAGAGATGTGGGGTCCGAACTTTGGCTGTATTCAAGATATTCGAGGTTTAGCTTATGAGACGGGCAGCTCTTAGTGTAGATTGCTTTCGCAATAGCCAGCGCTTTGCCTCAAATCTACCGCTCGAAATAACCTTCTGTGTCGGTAGCGTATACCGTTGGGTCCAGCGGGCTATACCGCTGAAGTAGAAAACCCTTCAAGCTGACCTCCGCACAATTTTCCCCCCATCTTTTTATCTCCGTCTTTATCAGTCGCTTGGTTAATTTCACCCATGGATGCACCATCAAGGTCTGCTTCCTAACCGCTTCTCTAAATAGTCGCTGACAGGACAAAACGGCGGGGAAGAGTTTCAGTTGTCCCGTTGCCAGCGCGAGCACCTTCGATGATGCTTTCAGCGTCTCGCGAGCGTGCACGCGCAGCCCAAGCACGGCAGAAGGAGACGATCGCCTGCTGAAGGTCGGTCGTCCGAAAGGGACGCTTTACCGTTCTCAGCCTTTCAGTGACTAAAGCAGCAAGAGATCTTTTAACATCATGAAAATCCGAGACTTGGGGAGCAAGAGAGGGGACATCACACACACAGGTCTCAAACGAGAGTAAAGAAGAGAGTAAAAGACAAGAAATCCTCGTTTTTTACGCTTGGGGTGATCAGAGCCCTTGGGAGCCGATTACACCCCAGCAAAGCAGGTTAAAGATTTGCACTCTAGCCTCCCGGGAAATCTGAGACATTTGGGACCGGGTGCGGCATCCACTCAACGAACGTCGCGGGTAGGGGATGATCTCCACCGCACCACGTCCTCGGCCGGGGCCGAACCCGATCACCGTTAACCACCGAGGGCAACACGCAAAGAGCGTCTTCCCTGTCCTGCCGGTAATTAGAGCTGCGGTTCCCTGGGCCGGCAGGAAGAAGGGGCACCGCGACCGAGCGAGTCCGGACGAGTAAGGCCCTGCGCCATCGATCCAGGCCTTTTTCCGAATGCACGTCTCTTCTCCTGGCCGCCCGGCGCTGGTTGCCGCTCGAGCGGCCGGGAAAGCAGCGGCGAGGCGGGAGGCACGACCGCCTGGTGGTTCTGGCGCTCACCTGATTGTCCGAGGAGCCGCCGGTATCCATTGGCAGAGCGCGGCCTCACGCGGCGCCAGTGACATGCAGGCGCGACTCCGGCGTCGGGGAGCGGGACCGCCCGGCGTGGTGGTGCGGTGTCCAGACCCCGGGCCCCCGCCGCCGATCGCTTCCGGGGTTGGGACTCCCCGGGGCTGCCAGCGCGTTGGGAGACGCAGCCCGACCGGGTCTGGGCGGACGCTAGAAAATGGCTCCTCCGCACCGCCGCTGGGCGCGACGCACGCGCTCTCCTGTGGCCACGGAGGACGCGCCAGCGCCGCCGCCGGGGCGAGGCCACGGGAGGCGCCGGCTCTTCGCCGACTCGCCCGTGTGGAACGGACGAACAGGACGGGATACGAGTGGCCCTGCAGACGTGCTCCTGGTAAACGATTGTACGAAGAAGAAACAAAGCAAGGACAGCCCAGACTCGTAGAGAGGGGCGCAACACATCATTGACAACACATCAACTTTAACAACGAAATACACAATACTATCTCGATAGTGCTGCAGACAACCCACTGTTGCGAATTTCGGCCTCCTTTTATTACCTACAATATTGCTAAACATAAATAAAAAATAATAATTCCAACCAAAGTGCGAAAAAAAGGGGTGGGTTTATTGATGAGCACAAAACTCATAAGTTTTATACTTGGCCGGACTGTACATTGCTTGCTCAGATTTTTGTGTTTCTGTTAAACTGCCTTTCACATGCCTCCATTTTTTTGTGGTGTTTTATCCAGTGCACCCGCTTGAAGCTCCACATTTTTTATGTTTGACACACGTCATTAAATAAGCTTCTTCGAGTACGAGTGATTAATTCAACTACTGTTTTTAAAGTAACGAAGCTAATGGAGCGGACGAATCTATAAAGCGGGACGTGTACTTGGAAGGCAGCAAGAGCGGTACCAATCTCTGCAACAGGAAGATTCGTCCCTCCACGCGAATAAAATGGGAGACGAGATTGATTTTCAGAGTCCACGCAGTACCGGCAACAGACCTCACAAATACGAATTCGAACAATCGTTGAACCGTCATCATTCATCATTTTCTTATTTCGTTGACTTTTGAGACTTGCGAGAACACCAAATTGTTTGGGGAAATCGACAGACAAAGCCGATGAAAAGCTTTTATTAACTCCTGATTATCGTATCAAACAGTAATATACCTGGCCAGATGCTTATATTTCTACTGGATGATTTATGATTTTCGGGCTACGTTAAACTGTCCTCACTTCGAAGCTTTTCCGCATCGCCACCAGATGGCGACTTCCCAAAGGCCCCAGTGTCAATACTAACCGCACTCTCCATCCGCGTACGGGTCGCAGAAACCACGGCGGGCCTCTATTAGTAGGCATGAGGTTGAATGAAGAGCGGGGGAATAAATAGAAGCGGAAGAGGAAAAAAAAAAAACAAAGACACGGACGCCGACAAAAGTGGCGACGTTGGTGACGGAGAAAGATGGCAGCATTATGAGACGCGGGCGGTGACAAAACAACAACAGCAACAAAAACAAAACAAACTATAACAGCAAAACTAAAGCAGCAGAAGCTGGGGCTCCGTGACAGCCGCGTCTATCAACGACCCTAATAAGGTCTCCAGTCTGTGCCTTGGTAGGCCTTCGAGGTCGCCTAAAATACAAGGACGCAGAGGCCAGGGGTGCTAAACAGTCCTGACCGGCGCAAGAAAACAGAGAGGATTCCGGTATAAGGTTCTCGAAAGCAAAACGATGCATTGAAACAACAAACAAACCAGGACAAAAGGGTACGAAAATGGGAAGCTGAAAGGAAAAACCACGAGGGTCGAAGCAAACCAGCAGCAAGAAAGATAAGGCTTCAGCAAGAGAACGCGCACAGAGGGTGCCGGACTAAAGCGCGTCCGACAAAAGAAATAAGATAGAACTAAGAAGTAAGACACAACGCCGACACAGTGAAAGCAACAAAAGTAGTATCGAAGTGAAGGGGAGAGTGTGGTGGGTGCAATGAGGCAACGAGCTGCGAGAGGCGAAATTGCACTTCCATAAAGCTAGCGGAGTAGTATAAAACAAAGAAGCAATAAGGTAAAAAAAAAAATAAACGAAAAGCCAACTTCAACGGTTGGGGAAAAAATGCAACAACAAGAACAAAATAAAAGTGGGGGAATCTGGTTTCGAAGTATATATTGAATATTGTTCGGCAGGTTTCCGTTTTCAGCTTGCGTTGCGGTTATCGCTGTGCGCTGTAATGCAAGATCAGGTGCGGGGATAAACAAAAGTAAAAGAAAGGGCGCTTTATTTTTTTTTTTTTTTATTTTGTTTTTTTATTATTAGCCGTTGAACTTGGTGGCGCCTTGTACGAAAGAGTAACTGGTTGCGAGCTGAACCCTTCTGCTGGAACACAGCGGCCGCTGAAAGGACGTATATAAGCAAAAACGGCGCCAACAGGAACCCTCGCAGGCGCGCGCGCGCTTGTGTCTGTCGTAATCTACGTCTCGCGTGTCTCTACTGTCTTTTTTGTGATTTTGGCAGCACCTCCAATTTAACTGTTTATTAACTCGCGCTCCTCTTCCTGTAAGTTCAGGGGTTGCTGACATCGGGCCATTGCATCGAGGCTTTGTTGCGATTCTGGGTAATGGTAAAATTAAACTATGGGTGGGATAACGCAACTTAACGAATAATGTAGTTGAATGTTCTGCAATCCCTCAGTGTTTCAGCAGCCAACAACATTGGTCATTTATACATGATGCAGCAGAAGGTTTCAAAGCGATGAATTATACTGTGTGTCAACATCTTTTCTTCCCACACTCAGCCCAAATTTAAGCGAGGCTGCGACAATACTTTGTTTTTCGAAATTCTGCCGCAGCTTTGTGTTTTACTCTTTTGCGAACCAGACGAAAGGACGTTCCTTGGTAGGATGCGTAGAATAAACAACTGCACATAAGCTCGAATGGTGCTATGAAATAAATATGTGCGAGCAGTAACCGAAAAACACATGAAGTTGACGACACCACATAAAACGTTCATTGCAGCTGGTGGCCTAAACGCGACTTCGTGAAAGCGAATAAAATTAATTGCTTATTTATTTGGAATGGAAGCTCCGATAGGGAATCAACAAGGAATGTTTTACATAAGCGTTGCGAGCGTTCGCAACAACAGTAACTTCAGCGACCCTAGGTTTCCATGGCAACCGCGCGTCGTACGTAAGTAGCAAGCAGCGCGAGGAGAGGTGGAACAATCGCGCCCTTTGCGACCAACAAATCATGGCTAGGGGGGACCGAAGCTCCTCGTGTCTTCAGATTGTTAATCACAGGTGATCTATTCAATGCGCATGTTCATTTCAGTTTAAACTTAGGTTTGGGACAGTGCAGTTCGCGGACTTCAGGGTTACAGTAGTGCATAACGGGGCCTTTAATACGGACGAACGTCGAGCAACTGAGAACGTCAACTTTAGGTGCCAGCGAAATAGGCGCTCATTGCTTCTTTATCTATTACAGTTGCAAGCGCTGCGCATAGCTACGTTAGCAGCGTTTGTTGTTGTACGCAGTGAACCATATGTGGAGCGCAAGGTTGTCTGCTTCTTTTGCAGGGATTGCGGTGACATCAGAACGCCGAGTTTTGATTGGGCCCGATTGTTATGCATCCAAATTATCCTTCGCTTGGTGGGTAAATTATGAAACTGTCGACCAAATGAATGATGACACGTGCCCGAGATTAACATACTCGGTTGCACAAGTGGCCAATGACAAGAAGGGGGAACAGAAATAGTAAAGGAATACATATAAGTTATAGTTTGGGGCATTTGTTCAGAATCTCGTGTTCACAAACCGGAACAGTGCAGGAATAAAACTATGAAAATCAAAAGCAGAGAGAAAAAAGAAAGAAAGTGGAGGGCAACATGACGTCATCAATAATGCCATAGTCACTGAGATCTAAAAAAAAAAAAAAAGAAAACTCTAGCCGTGGCTTTTTATGTTTACGCTTGGGTTGCTCTGTGATTGGTCATTCGGTGCTGTTATCGGCCAATGTTGCGATCTGATTGGCTGTTGAGCAATATTGAGATGCTCGGGGCTCGACGCCCCGCTCTGCGTTTCTCAAATAGTCAGTAACAATAGTCGTTGGCAAGTTAAAAAGTTTCCATGGATTTAATCAAGTCAAGTCTGTTTTCATTGGGCATTGCTACCTTTACCAATTCCCTCATAGTGAGACTCCTCGTACATCATACAAAAGACGCAGTGTTCGCTGCGGACGTTTACTCCGCGGGCAAATGATTTTATCTGCAGACAAATTTTCTGCATACACGCCTCAACGTGTTCAAAGCATGAATTTTTGTTTTACACATATGCACGCGTCGAACATGTCTGCCAACATTCTCTGTTTGATCAACGTAACAGGATTGTCGTACAAAGAAACACGATGCCCGCAGACAGTTACTGAGGACTGTATGTCTTATATCCTTTATTAGCGGTGCGATCGACTGCGGATTTGAGAAACCCACAAATAAATTATACAAAGATCGCCAAAACGGGACCAATTCCGGTATCATTCAGCGACCTAACACCGGTTCCTGCTTTTTGTCGTCGTGCGATATATGCTGTCCTTTGAGGGGCTGCATGCTGCTGATTGGCTGGCTGCGCCCCTTTTCCTATTGAGACTGCCAGGAAGTCTATGACGGCACCTAATGTTTGCGCGACGTAAATCAGGATCCCGACCTCTGGTTCCGTCGCATTTGTCAAAGCGAGTGCGAGTTCTCGGAAGGGCTTCCGGTCTTTCGGTTTCCTCAGCTCGGCTCACAATGGCCGGCGCTAACGAGGAACGCGAGTAATGTCGCGCTAAGGCGTTGTCATTAATCTGACATTGTCGTTGACGGTAAACGGCGGAGGAGCTGGCGCTGCCTTTGTTCTCGAGCCCAATTAACGAGTGGCGAGGACTCCTTTGCTTTCTTCAGGGCCCATTTGTGGACCTTTGACCACGCGGACTGGCTCGGAGGGAGTCTCGACCGCGCTTGACATTCAGTCTTTAAAGGTGACAAAAACAAAGGTGGAATAAACTTTTAATAAATTTCTCTCTCTCAGTTTGTTAATTTTATTACAGTTTGGTGCTCGATTTGGTGCGAGCCTGCTGAAGAATATTTTGGCGGTTGTCGTCTAGATTGAATAATAGACAAATTTACGCGATTTTATAACGTCGGCGGGGGCTAAACCTGTACCGACTGTAAATGGGCTT